GGGTCATTTTTGCTTGGGTGGAGAGTGCTTTTGTGTGTGACTTTTGATTCAGTAACCAAGTACTTTGCATCTCAATTTCTTCTTTGTTATAAAAATAATCACTTGCTTTGGGCCGGGCATGTGATCAGTAAGGAGTATTGCAGCATACCTGTGTACAAAAATTGTTTATTTCTATGTGCATGTACTCGTAACCCAACCAGCCTGAAACACAAATAACCTCTTTTTTAGACAGCCCATTGTCTGACACTGAATTTAAGCAATGTCTGTCACCAAAACATAAGACTGAGGTTTGGGTATTTCATTCTCTCTGTGGTCAGTTTCTTGCATTGTTTCTTTGCTGTAGTGCACCCAAAAATCTTGAATCTGCTGAGTTCAATTGACATTGTAAAACACACTCAAAGGGTCAGGTATATACTATAGGAGGTTTGTTGACAAATAAGACGCAGAAAAACCAAGTCTTGGGGTCGCGTATGTCATTTTACAGGTAGATGTAGTTTCGTTTCTTGGGGTTAAAAGAAGCAACTACATGTACAGATTGATACCAAGTCCCGAAAATGGTGTTATTTGTCTGCAAGTACTGTACATACAACGGTGTATTCTGAGAAATACTGAGTCATTTTGAAAAGTTTACTTAGTAATCAACTGTCCTGTAGCTACCAGTACATGTACATTTATTTTTCCAAAAAAGAAGGAATCTAAAACTTTTCTTAATATTTACCAGCTTCAGGCTGCATATATACATGTAGATGTGAATGATCACACACATCCATCCGGTGTTGTCCAGTTGTCCAGTTTCTACTCGTACAAAACTGGACGATAATTCATCCAGTTCCAATAATTGATTGCAAATTGCGCAAGCCGTATGGATAAGTGCAAATTTTATTTCAGAAATGAAATCTTTCTGTACAGGTAAGTTCCATACTTGAACTTACTAATAGAAAAGAAAAAAACAACTATGAACTTTTGAAAAAATGTTCAACATGTGTAAGCTTATTTGTGCTACATGCTGTAAATTGTTACCATAAATTGAATTCTGATTACACGCTTCCTGATTTTTCTGGACAAGGCTATTTTTAGTTCAGAGGTACCGGTACACGTAGCCCATAACTAGCCCCACTGGTAACCAAGTAATACAAACAGTACATTAGTGGAACCATGTTGGAAAAGGAGGTCATTATGAAACCAAACACACGGTTAAATTGATCACCAGTGAATACGTAACCAATGTAATACATGATCCGACCAGTGACAAACAAACAGATGATGATGGGGACCAGCTTGAGGTAGTATGAACTCAGGTAGGTGCTGAGGACCAGCATGATGGGAACATGGAGTGCCGTTTGCTCCAAGGTGTTCTGGAGAGCACGCTGTCTCAGACGAACAAGCTCTTCGGCGTATGGTGTGGTTGTCACAACCCCGGCTGTATCGATGTTGTTAAATCTAATCCGGCCAACAAGCTACAAGAAGATTTGATGAATTTAGAAATTATCTTTATCTTTGTAACTTGCTACAGTGAAGAACAGAGATCTACCGTGCGTCCAATTTCATTGTACATGTACATGTATGTACATGTATGTGTATCTACCCCGAATCAAAGTAATTGTTCATAACTTTTACAGTCCGTTACTTGGCAAACTTACCTGGATTCCAATAACGATAGGTAGAATAGACAATGCCAGCCAACGCAATGTGAAAATCAGTCTGCCAGCCACACCAGGCCGAGTTGGAACCTCAATTGGGATGTAGACCCATGCAATGTAGGCCACCGAGATGGCAAAGGCAATGGTGACAATGCCGCGTTTTCTCAGCTCAAATTGGAGGTCTGCCTTGGTCTTGGTTGCCATAGTAACATGCCTCTCCTTATCAAATCTGGAATACATCATTACATGTACAGGCAGTATTCAAGGAAGATCAACAACTGTCCTGTTTTTCAGCGTTAATATCAGATTATCAAAGTGCTGTTGTGTTTCTATTTTGTTTCTCAAGTGACCCCTGCCCCCCCCACCAGGAGTTGATACCTCAATGTACACCTTGTCTTTCCCTTAGGCTTGCATGTATTACTGTCCCTCAGAGTACGGGGAGGGGGAATGACTCCTGCTGTAAAGTAGTCCTTAATTGTTAATGAGCACATAAGAAGTAATCAGAAGCAGTACTCTCACCTGTCTGTCTTCAATTAGTACAGATCAGCTCAGTGTTGAATGCATGCTCTAGTCATGGCATAGCATTTACAGATGAATGCACGTTCTCCTAACTCGTGGTCCCACTGAACCTTGAACATAAGAGTGTGCATTGTTAATTTCCAGTTATCCAAATAATCTGATTATGGGTATAATGCAGGTACCCTGGCTATTCATAGACCAAGTCCGCATATCATACAGGTCACTAGTAAAGAAACCCACTCCCAGTTGTCTCATACATCCTTAAAAGAAATGTCAAAACTGAAGCCTGTGATATGCTCAATGCCAAGTTAATAATTTGTACAAATTTAAAGGAACTTTTTGTTTGGGAAAAAGCTAGTTTAATTTGTTAAATAAATCCTGCCATGTTTTATTTTATGCTTCTGCATTACACAGAAAGCCTAAGTCTCTGGGAAATGAACTATTTATATCTATGGCACTCGGTGTATCCAGGGCTGGGGGGGGCAGTTTGAATTTCTGTTGGGGGGGCCCAAAAAAAAGACTGTCCAATTGCTGTCACTCTCTGAAAGAATCCTCATTGCACCCAGAAAGGTAAATGAGCATTTCTAAAATAAGGCTGCTTCCGAATCCATTGTCTAGAGCTAGGTCTAGGTCTTCACTCCATTGAAAGAAACTGGAGACGCGCAGACCATAGACCTAGCCGTAGCTCTAGAAGCCCGTTTCGGAACACAGCCTACATTGTTTGTCTCTTTGGGCCTTGTCCCAGTCCCCCTATATGCCACTGCAGAGCATACAGACACCATCATGGAAATGTATGCAATAGTTTTCTTGGATCTGGAATATTAGTCAACTTGTACTTTTTCTTAAAAGCTGTCTGCATTTTTTGCGTCATGATCACATCTCATGTCTGTTTCAGCACTGACAGAATTAAAATGCCTCCAAATCTGTCTTATACCCTGTGTTCTCTAGCATGTAGTGGGATGATACTTGAGGACAACGCTGTCATTCGCTGGCCCACTGATTTTTCTTCAGCCTCTTCAGACTGTGAGCTGACCATTCATACGCATCCCCTCAAACGGGTCATTTTCACCTTTGACAAGATGGAAGTACCAGGGACCAGTTGCCAAGAATTCTACGTTGAGGTAAACTTATATAGTCCATGTCTGTAATTTTTTTTTATATATTGATTTTCCAAATGGTGCATGAATATTTCTATAGTTAATGCACTGTATGTTTTAATAAACATGTAGCTTAACTTAGTTGCATATTATTTTTTACTATTTTAATATTGTTAGATGGCCCGTTGAAAATCATCTGTTTTTAGATGACATGGTTACCATCAGTAAATAAAGCTGTTATTCCTTTTCTTATTATTATGAACCTGTTCAATTTTTAGACTTGCATCTGCAGAAATAATTCCACAGTGAATTCTTTCTCTTTTGTACATGTAGTACTTCAAAAATTTCACACTTTGTCCAAACATGTTCATGTGCTTTGTTTTGACTTGAGGCTTTCAAGCCTTTAGAGAAGGATGCCAAATATCATGCATTTTAACGTGAAATGTTGAGCTGATTGGAAGCCTGAACAAGGCATGTTTTCAGCTGAGGACAGCAGCCTGCTAACTTGATGTCCCTTCATGAAGTCAGAATTCTGGCCAAACTCTTTTGAGCCAAGTGTTACCTTTGGAAGATTCCAAATAGAGGGGACAATGCAACATGCTTTTCCCCCATCATCACCATCAACGGTGCTTGTCTAATTTTTGGTGCGCTTATAATCGTGCACTTTATTGTAGTTGAATTATGTTTATTTATATAACGGGTTTCGCCCTTACCCAACGTACATGTATGTACTGATAAACACTGTATGCTCAGTGCTTGTCCGAGAGCTTGGGAAAAAAGTCACATCTTGAATACATCTTGAATTATGTCTGTCCACAACAATTCATTTATCATTTGTTGCTTTGATTTTGTTTTTTTGAGCAGGTGCTTGACGTTGAGCCGGGTAGGACGCTGAGTTACTGCCAGACACAGAAACCATTCTCAGTCATTTCAACATCCAATGAAATGCGACTTCGTTTCCAATGGACCAATAGCGAGGCATCAGCTGCCAGACGACAGTTGGCTGGGGATAACGAGCCAGTCGTTGTGAAGCATTACGTGATGGACAGACCACTCCAAGCTGGTGAGAATGCTAGTTTAAAAAACAGCCTGGATCCCATTGAATTTTGACTTGACCTGAGGTCTGTTATTTGAGCCAGTTACTCGTTTTGGAAGAACAATCCAATGCTAATAGTTATCAAGCCATTTTGACTCGAAATTTCCAAAGGTCTGTGATGTAATGAGAATCTGTAAAGAGAAAGTTTAGAATTGAATTTCGACCCGTGCACCTGTTACTTATATGTCATTGCAATTTCAGTTGAGCATGTTGCTGAGTACCACCGCATCTTTCGCAAAGAACAGGGTGAGTTCTCATCCCTGGATCACTCACGAGCCCTCTGGATGGATGGTAACTGCTCGGTGCTGATTGAAGTTCCCTCAGACAAACAAATACTCATCCACTTTCAGGATTTCCTGATCGGGGAGCAACCACCAAAACCTGACGAGAGCGCCCCCGTCATCTGCCGTACGGAATTTGTTCAGGTAAGCTGACTGGAGCATTCAGGTTTGCATGTACCTCCTTGCCCGTGAAGCAAGTCTTTGAAATTATAGCCCATTCCAAATTACATGTTACACCCCGCTTCCTGAGAAATATCTAAATTTTTTCCAGTAAGATAATGATCTTAAGCAGGCATGTTTCGGGAGTATTATGAACCTGTTTTGTTTCATTTTTTAGGAATAAGGCAAAGTACAGAGTGAAAAGAAATTAGAATTCCAAATTTGACAGTGAAGCAAACTTTGGTTTTGATTTGCACTCGGGATACCTGGAAATGGAGTATAACCATCTCTGTGTTTCAGACACTTTGCCTTACGTGCAACTTTCAATCTTTGAGAGAAACTGACAGTTATTTATTTGTTTTTCTCTCTCTAAGGTTGAAGATGTCACCAACGGACGCAAGAACGTCTTTTGTGGTCATTATTCGTACTTTTCCTGGTTGTCCGACACAAATGCCGTCCTTGTCACTTTTTTCACCAATCCAGTCATCGTGTATCACGGATTCAGAGCCAAGTATGAAACAGTGGTTAGAGGTAGAGGTAAGTATTTTTTGGAAAAGCTAGGCTATTAATCTTAAGATGAAAGAAAATAAAATTTTTCCAGAATCTCTCAGCTCTCGAGAGAGATACATCACATGGCGGAACATCACAGGTAATGGATCAACCCCACAGGCCCCGACCACTTAGCACTTAGCATGTCCAATGCCACACTACCACTTCCAGCCGAGCTGATCATACACGCTTGTGCACATGTCAAACTTTTGCATGCATGTTGGACATAAATCACAGCTGTAATTGGTCAGAAAGCAGTGGGACAGGAATTTGATAATGGATTGGTCTTCTGTGCAGAGTACCTTTTGCTTTTTTTGACATTGGTTGTATTAGAAGTTTATTTCATACTGGGCTGAGCAAAAAATTTGACCTGAGTGAGATGTGAACCACTGACCAGTTTAAAACTGCATTCGTATTCTACTAAAAAAAAATGAAAGCGTTCTTATTTTTGTCCTCTAGCACCCTCTGAACATACCTCTGAGGAAACCGGCAGTTTTCAATCAACCAACTTCCCAACAAGTTATCCCTCACCCCATGAAGAGAGCTGGGTAATGCATTCTCCTCCAGATTACATCATATCGTTGGTGGTTGATTCATTCGACTTGGAAGAATCGGTCGATTGTAACAAAGATTATGTCAAGGTATGCAAACAGTCTTTTGCTTATTATCAAAGAAAACTCTTGATTTCTTAGTTTCTAACTGAGAAATTACACACATGTACATGTACGTTGCTTATTTTATTCTTTGACCCATGTTAGTTTGAAGACTTGTCCAGTGGTTACAGCTCAGTGCTGTGTGGAACTCATGGCTTGTTTGCTTGGACTTCAGAAGGAAATGAAGTTCTTGTTACCATGGTAGGCGATGAGGACACAGCCTCATCGGGGATATCACTAACGCACTCCCAGGTAGATGTTTCAAAAGGTACGTATGTGATGTCATTTTCTCAACCAGCTCTTTTTCAAAGAGAACATCTTTATTAGTAGCAACAGAGCCCAGTCCTTTCAGACTGAACATATTTTTCTCGCACAAATTTATCCAACATCTCTTGGCAGGCTGCTTTCTTCTTCTTCGAGGAGAGTCGGGATCTTTGAAGTCATCAGAGTTCCTTCAGCCTAATGAGGTGTGGCGAGGGTCATGCAAATTGATCATTCACACGTCCCCTGACAAACGATTGAGTCTGCTGGTGGAAGGTGTGAACGTTGAGGAGCATTGCGGGAACTCTGGAGTCACAGTAAGTAGAAACAAAAGGTAGTTAGGAGTCCACCGCCCTAACAGGAATAGAATTTGCTAAAGTGAGGAATGTGTTTGGGCCAAAAAGTTGAGTCTTGAATGAGTGACTGAACTCTCTGGGGGAGTAACGTATGTTGTGAGTCCTGATTAATCTAGGAGAGAATGAGTAGGCCATTCCGATTGGAAGAACAAAAATACTAACTGCTACTCATTTTTGGTTTCAGATTGTCGACATTGCAACACTTCGCAGCAAGATCATCTGTGAGGTATCCCACGATCTTGTCTTCACCTCTGATTCCAATGAGGTGGCGTTTGGTTACATCAACTATCAGACCACTCTGCCTGATTTCACCGTTAGCTGGGAGTCCATTCACAGAGATGTCTACCCAGGTTAGTCTGTGTATCCTCAAAAAGGGGCCCAGACTTTGTAAAAGCTTTTCTTGCAGGAAGATTATGAGAGGTTATTGCAACTGAAGAAAGGAGTTTGAGGGGCGGAGAAACGTCCTTTATTTTGAAGGATCAAAGTATTTGATAAAGTGGGGATAACCCAAGGTGAGATTTGCAAGGATTTATTCCTGATTTCAGGATTTTTTTCATCATGATATTCCCTGATTTCAGGATGTTTCAAGCAATTTATTTTGAAATCTGGAATATCCTGAGTTTATGGTCCTGGCGCTTTTACAGGTAACAGTTGATATGAATGCAAGAAATAGATAAATGAAGGCATACGATAAGGAAACATAGACAATTCACTGCTGTGGGGTATGACTACAACCTTTGGTGATTATTTTGTGGACATATCATTTTCCTCCAATCACACGGGGTGAGACATGCAGAAAGTCTTTGGATGCCAACTTTGCTGCATTTCTCATCTCATAGGGTTAGAACAGGTCCAGGAATTTATACACCCTCTGATCAGGGGAAGCAATAGCAATCATTTGGAGCCACCTCTAGTCTTGTAAAAGTGCCAGTTCAAATGCTGCTAATGTTGTGCTGAATGCCGATATTGTTTCACTTTGTCTTCCTTGTAGTTGAATGTACGGACGTCTTTGATCAAACTCCCGAGAGGATATCAGTGGACACGTATCGGCCAGTTCTACTTCTGTTACCGACCGATGCAGCCTGTCACATCTTACTCACTCTGCCACCTGAGGAAGCAGTGGCTCTGGTCTTCCAAGAGTTCTCTCTTCCCGGTGCTGACTGCGAGAGACATTATGTAGAGGTATTTCTGATACACAATTATTGTTCTCTGTCACCTGTATAGTGGGGCAAGTCATAGTTACTGATAAAATGACTCCCTAAATTTAAATCTTAGTGAGAATTGATGAGCATACTGTAGTCATTAAATTATCATCGTGATGTATTGTCATGGTGATTTGTAAAATTTGGGGAAATATTTCTAGGCATGTTTCCATTGAATTAACTTCATCCTCGGTTACTACTTTGACAGAACAGTTGTTGGTATTGCAGTAAGACTTTGAACCTGCGAACTTTACTTTTCCCTAGCTTGAAGACCTAGCCTCGCTGCGCTATGATCGTTACTGCAAACCCGAGCTGCCCTTTTCCTGGAAGTCAGACAGCAATGAGGTCATGATACGATTTGCAAGAACAAATAATGCCTCTGGCATGGAAGTTGTCGCTGAGTTCTCCAGCATTCAGAAACCCAAGCAAGCAGGTGGGTTTCACTACTGATTTCTATTTCTTGCATCTTCAGTGAGTGTTCTTGTGTTTATTGAAACTTGCAATATTTTAGTCCCTCTCATTCTTGCTTGCCCTGTTGAGTCGTAATTATGGAATATTAATCTTCAAATCAAGTTTGCAGATCGTGTATCGAATGCAGTGTTGATTGTCTATGAACCCGGTCAAAAGAGGGCGCAGTTTCCCTAGCAATGGAGGCTCCTCTTGTCGGCACTAGACGT